AGATACTGCTCGGAACAACCAAGTTGGATCATTTGATATTAAATTGGGATTTAAGGGATGGCGAGGAATATGGGTGTCCTATGGAGAATGCAAACGTTACTCTCATAGCCTCGACTCTCCCGCTGCAATTTATAGAGTCGATTTTGTTTTGGGACATCATGACACAGTTCATATCGATATGCTTGAATTCGTGGGAGGAATGTCGATGCAGTCTCGCGATAAAATAGTTCCACCTTTCACAAGATTCGGCTCACGATACGACTCGAGCAACTTCTGGCAGCAAAGCTACCGTTGGAGTCAGCGAGCTCCGACTGCCCTTCCGGAAACGGTGGTTGCTTCAAAGTCCTTGAGTCTCACTCACATCGAAAGTCGCTTGAAAAACTGGTATTGCGATGAGAGGGAAACCACCTATGACTTCTCTGGAGAAGCCAAGAAGCGTTGGGATAAACTGGTGAGGAGCATTGACGCTGCATATCTGGAATACGATAGACTTGTATTTAGGACGCTAGACTCAGGGAAGAAAGTCATAGCCGGGCCTCCTTTGTTTTGTCGTGGTTGTGACAGGGGAACACGAGCGTATTCCAAGAAAGATCCAACAAGAAAGTTCAGCTTCGTCCAAATGCGTATCATGCTTCCTTTGGCGATAGAGTTTTATCTTAAATCCCGCGCCGAAGAAGTTTCCCGAACTGTGACAGAAGAAACTCCTGAACTAAGTTCTACTAACAAAGTCGATGTGGACAGTGCCATTGAAAGGATTTGTGGAAAAGACGCAAACAGGCAGAAAGAGTTCCGCGATTACCTTGAAAGTTTGACGAAACCTTACACAAAGGACCAAATACGCAAAATATTGAATGACGAAAATAAAAAACGCCTTGAGAGAATAATCAAACTGCTTGACTACATTGAAGACCAAGGATGGGCTGATGGAAGTGCAATAGGCTCCCTGGATCATGAAATGAACCGTGGTGGTGCTGGGTACATGCACACTCTTTTCTTGCTGAAAGACACTTTGCACGGGGACGCTAAATACAGATCAAGACTTTTAAACCTTATAAACGCTGCCAAGTGGTTCAATGATTTTGGTGAAGTTTACCAATCGACGTTCGAGTTTAGCGGAACTACGGCTGACAGAATGATTACAATAATGTTGTTTCGGCTCATGATTGTGTTGATAATGCCTGCTAAGTCGGATTTGGAAATAAAAGAAAGGCAGAGGGATATGGATGCTTTGAAAAGGTGGATGGATAACGCCCTGAGTATTAACAAAGCCTTCGGTGGAGTCATTAAACCTGATTATACTGGCTTTCATCACAAGACATTCTACGCATCTGCGTATGCCCCACACGCATATCATACAGCTGCGCAAGTGCAATACCTCCTGGAAGGAACAGATTTTGCTCTGTCAGATGAGTCGAAACGAAATTTACTGGAAGCCCTTGAAACAATGAGGCTAGTAGCAGTTAAGTATTCAACACCAAACAGTGTCGGAGGACGCATTGTAGACTATTCTAAAAAGATTTTGGTAAAAATTCTCCCAGCATACGCTTACATCAGTGTTTCTCATCCATCTGGGCCACTGGCATCAACCCCAGCCAAAGAAGTCACAGTTCCTGCTGTTAGGAACGTTGGAATGTTTTTACGTTTGTACCAGCCCACCGACGAATCTATTAAAATGTATTTGGAAGATGGAACGGTTAGCAGGGGAAAATCATATATGAACAGCCTTGGATCACTGAAAATTATGTCGACCGTAAGTTTGTTAACTGAACCGTGCTGAATTTTTATGAATTTTAATCAGATTTTTGTCAAGTGGAACGAAATATATTCCTATAAGGAAAACAGCAAAAAGGTTTTGAACACGTTAAACCCTTTTGGGAACCCCGTGACTGTGCTCATTGAAAAAGGGAATTTTTAGAAAAACCCGCAATTCCAATGTGAGACTTCGTCGAAATTGGGCTTTAAATAAAAAGCTTATTTTGTTTGTGCCTGCGTAACAATGCAATAATAATTATGTTGCTGCCAACATAATTATACACCAGTTTGCTGTTACTTGTATCCTTCCTTTATACAATAAAACATTGCACTGCAACCCTTTAAAGAAAGGACGAGGGACCAAAATTCTAAAAAAAAAAACCTTAAGGAAGAGTGTTAAGATAATTTTATTCGAGAAATGTAAAGTCTTGCCCTTTTATAATTCTGTAACAACTATGGTGTTTGTTTCTTGTATTTATATAATTTTACCAATTGCTTGGTGCAGTCTAATGTATTAAATTTGGGCAACTTTGCTGATTTTATTATATGTTTTCTCGAACATAGGTCTTTTCTAAAGGTACATCTCCTGAGCCCTCCCCTGAAGGTCACTGGTCCAAGAACTTTGCTGCTCTCTCAATTCATCGTCGTAAAGACTGGGCAGTGACGATAAAAGGCTTTAACCGGTTTGTCTGGGACTTTGAGGGATCTACAAAGATTAAAAAACCTGAAAATGTTTATGGTACCTATCAGAGTCATGGTTCAATGTTGATAGCGAACAGCGAAGAGGCATTGAAGGCTCACGATATAAACAATGGATGGGATTGGACAAAAATACCTGGAGCCACAACAATGTCCCTGACTCTCACTCAGACGAGGCTGAGTAAGGCAAGAAACTTCAGTCCACGATCTTCTGCTGGAGGAGTAACCTACAGAGGACCAGAGCCTTTATCCAGCGGAGTATTTGGCATGCACTTCCGCCAACCCAGGTACAGTTTTATGGAGGCGAGCCACCCCTATCCAAATATCAATCTCCGCTTTAAGAAATCTGTTTTCTTTTATCAAAACGTGTTGGTCTGCCTAGGAAGCAACATCAGAATAAACAATGGCGGGGCAACTCAAGCTCAAACTACCCTTTTTCAAGACAAGCTGATAAGTGACAGCTCGTCCATTAAAGTTGACGATGAGCGAAAAGATGATTCAGCTCTTTTTGACGCCATGACCCCATTTTCAACTCCAAAAGGAAGTAGAAGGGGATACACTACTCTGGTGGACACCAAAGGCAACAGCTACTACATTCCAAGATCAAGTGCATCCGATCTTAAGGTTCACGTACAAACACAAAACTCGCAAACACCCTCAGCTAAACCATCCAGTGGCACCTACGGTACTGCCTGGCTGGAGCACAGTACAACTGATGGGAGTTACGAGTACGCAGTTCACATAAATACTCCTTCATATAAAGGCTCTGCTGACTATTATTGGAAAAAACAACAATTTGATAAGTCACTTAAGCTCTACAGGGTTATGAAGCAAGACAGTGAGGCTCATGTGGTCCGATTTGAAAGATCTCCTGAACGTGATCATGTCTTGGTTCCACTATACGGTTATGTTTTTTTCCAAGAAACCTCATCTCTTCCTTCCTGGGGGATTGTCTCGGGAGTGAACAGACAGTGCAGGATTATGGCGGAAGAAAGCACTCAGGAGATTTACTTAAGCATTAGTTACCCTGACCTGAATTTCCCTGGCTCAAAAGTCTTGCAAACCTCTGGCGATATTGGAGCTCGGGAGATGTATCAAATAGAAAGCGATGAGATACAAGTTGAAGTCACCTTGGCACGCACTGTGAGCACTACTCTTCCAAAAACGCCCGTAGTGCACGGTTCTCCAACTGGCTACGTGCCAAGGGTTCACGTGGTCGAAAGAGCAAGCGGCGAGAAACCAAGCCGAGGAAACAGGCTAGTCTTCGCTAATTTAAAGAACGGATTCAGTGTTGAGGTGATATTGACGAAAATAACTTGTGATCAATAAGCGGATTAATGTATGAAGCCACTCATGTTTACTTCGCTTTACAATTCAAACAGTATTCAAAATATTTGATTGAAATTATAATTAACAACAAGGACAAAGTAATTATCAATATTGCACAATCTTTCTTAGAATTGCACTACGCATGTGAGTAATAAACGATGGATGAAAATGTTATTGAAAGTCTATCCTTTTTTGAGTTTTTAAAGTCAACTGTAACACTTGACCACCCCGCACGCTCGGCAGAGGGCGTACCAAGTCTGTCACTGGTGATGTTCACTTGCTGATTTGTATGACAGCAAACTTTGAGTTATTTACTCGAAACATTGGCATGATAGCGTAGAAAGTCTCAATGTGTTTCTTTCCTGTTGATTTTTGTTCCAATACCTGAAATTTCTACTGCCACAAGAAAAAAATCTTATCGGTTTTCATCAATCATATCTGTCTTTTCTGATGAGAACAGTCCTGTCTAACAACTGAGAATTTTAAAAGAATAATTGCCATCGGAAAGGGACCTACGTGCTTCTCTGAAAACGTAGCTTTATGCATATCTTTCAGAAACTTTGCTAATATACGGTAAAATTGAACGTTAGTTGAGTCTGCTGATAAGAAGGTATGGAGGGGGGAGGGCAAATCCCCCTGTTTTTCTTCCTTCTCTGTTTGACCGTTTTTTGCGAAATTGTGGTCATTACTCCCTAGTTAAAACCCTCAGCTGTCCTTAATTCCCTGAGTACTTTTCCGAACGCTTGCAATTTTTAACAGTTCTAGCCGTGAATGTTCTTCTCCCCTCGGTCAAGTTTAGTTTTGCTGAATCGTTTACTTCTGAAGTGGGTGACAGTTCGATTGAATTGAGGCAAACCTTTCCTGTTAAAAGGAAACTATCTTTATCTCATGTTATTTATGTTTCCTTATCTTTGGTGAACATGTCTTTTAAGATATGGTCAAAAATTGTCCATTATCAGTTTCCTTACGAAGAGAAAATATTTTCCTACAATTTAATCTCATTAATATACATATGAAGTAAGGGGTACCTACTTAACATTTAGATACAAGTATTTATTTCATAATTGATCTAAATCCATATTTTTTATAATTCGATTTATCAATTTTGAACACATGAGAATACCTAAAAGACCAGTAACACAGCCGAGGCGTTGAAAATTACTGTTCCAAATGTTTCAAATACTTCTGGAAGTTTATTTATGCGCGTTTTAAGTCAGTATCTAACATTTTGATGTGTCATAGTTGTAAAGAGACGAATTATAAACAGACTGACTAAAACAGAGTGCAGCATCGCTGTCACAGTCACACACGGCCTTCTTACATTCCACATCAACTTTGTCTTCCCATGAGGGGTAGCTGGAAATAGGATCTGAAACAAGCGAAGGTGGAAATGAAAAAAAAGCATTTAGAATATGAGTACAAACGTACAGCTTAGTTACCTTTTGTGATTTTCAAATTTCAAAACGAAATCTGCATTTATCTTAAAAAAAGTTTTCCCTAATAGAGTCTGAAGTTTTTATGTGTTGTCCAAGTTTTTTTTTCTTTTTTTACGTTTCATAGTTTCGAGTTGTTGTGATATCTTTAATAGATTATCGCTTATTGATTCCGACAATTACCGATGCATACAACTTTGGGGATAAATGTTCTTAGGATTGTTTGCTCAGCTCGGAAGTTGCTCAGTAAATGATTAGTAAAAGTGAATAGAATATTCAATTCCGAGTTGAAAGAGAGATAAAGACATTTTTAATTCTAATATACGCTACCTACCACACTGCCTGCATCCTTGGTATCTATAAATCACGGAATAAACATGAAAATAAAAGTAACACTTTTCGACCATGGCGACGTCATAGCATTTGTCATGAATTTGACAGCATCTGTTAACGATAGAAATTCGAAAAGTGCCGTTAAGATAACATGCTTATTCACCTCTACGGTAACATTGGTATGAAAAGGGGATCATGCTGTCACCAAAATATAAATCTAACGCGCCCTTTGTTGACATCGTCGAAGTGATATTATTTCATTTGTACCCTTCTGTTCTTGAGCTCCAATAGCTCGAAGTTTGCAGTAGTTCCTTTAAGGTATCATGCACCAATGGGCGTTAACTATTCTATAATCCTACTGTTACAGAAAAGCATACTTGTCTACGTGGTCCACAGGCTTTCCGCTTCCTCCTGCTCCACACCAACAACCATAGTCAGCATAATCAAATCTGCTTCTGTTTGTCATACAGTTTACCATGTTACCAAACTGATACAAATTTCGGGCTGTAAATTTGAACCAAAGGAGACGTGAAGTATTTATTAGAAATCCTGGCTTGGTTTCTCTAAACGGCTTGGTTCTTATACTGACAATATTGTAATCTTCCTGCGGGTAATCTAATGGTTTTCGTGTAAGTTGTTAATTCGTTTTGATTGTGCAATGCACATATTGGGCTTTGAAGCAACAAAGGAAAACTTCCCCTTTTCTTTACCATCCACAATCAACCAACAGAACTAAAGCTTAAGTCATATAAGCAAGATAACTAATACATGATTTATAACACTTATCCAAATTAAATTTTGCTACAGATGATGGACTCAGGGGAAGTACTTTTAACCTACGGCACTTTGAAGAGATCTGAGAGGAACTTTAATCTCGATAAAGAGGGCGAACTTTTCCAACATGATCAGTTTCGGCGAAATTCGTTAAAAGCTGTTTTCCCACGTGTCCACACTATGACTGCTCGTGCTCCTTATTCCCTTTGATTAATTAATAGTCATGATTCAAACTTTCGTGGAGAACCATTCTGAACAAGTTTATGGCATTTTAATAATTCACCCTAATGGTATCTATATCCCACTCACGAACCAACTTAACAGTACTGATCCCTACCTTTGTTATTGAGAGGTTCACTCAAAGCCTGAAAACAAAAGATAAAAGCTTTGAGGATTTTTGCTTTGGCCTTTGGTTATTTAAATCCACTGGATCAAATTTTCAGATCATATTAGATAAATTAGCTCACTGTTAGCTCTGATAACTTAAAATACGATCCTCACCTCATTTTGAAGGAGAATACAAAGAACTAAATAAGCTAAAGCGGTAGGTAGAACGAAAAGAAATCTTTGCCAAAATTTCCTGGACATCTCTGCTCTTGGGCTTCAGAGCTTTAAAAGCCTAACATAACAAAGCCGAGTGTAGAAGACGAAGAACGTGGTTACCACAAAATTTGTTTGCCTTTCATACTATGGTGATTGACAAATGAATGCTGAATTATGAAAAGGCGTCATTGCACCTGTTTCATGATTTAAAGTAACTCTGGGTTTTCATTTACACAACAATGAGTTGTTTGCATAAAACCTTTTACCACACACTACATAATACTTTTTCGTTTGCTCATCATATTTCCTGGTTAAATGTTGCCAATTGAACTTCTTCTTGGTCCCTATTACTAAATCTTTTAAAACCAGCATTTAATTATCAATTTTTAAACCGTGCAGCATCTCATCTAAGGAAACGTTTTAGAGGACATGGGAAATAAGTCTTTATCATCGGATCATGAATATCGCGGACCCGCTCTTTGAAAGAACATATGACAAAAGATGTTCTTGCTATGGACACATTCAATGTAAAGAGTGAGCAAATCCTGCGGTTCCTTTGTCATCCCAAAATGACTCTTTTATGAGAATTGAACCATTGTTTTTGTTGAAACTGTTTCTCTGGCTAAACTTACTTCATCTATATCTAGAAAAGAGAAAAAGACAACAATGATCGAAAATCTCGAATTCGGTATTTACACAGGTTTAGGACGTCACCGACACTTACGTAACAGTGTAATTCAAAGTAAATTTACTCACACTTTTTTAAAATTCCGTTCTGACTTCAAACTCGTTCATCTGTATTTTTTTTTCTTTTTTTTCCAGAGACAATGCTTAATAAAAATTCGATCGTAGTTTAACCCTGCTAAGCCCACCCGTCTATCCGTAATTAACGCAAAGCACATCAAGAAGGAACGCCATCTTGGATGGTATGGCTAGTACTAACAATTGAGATCGATCACTTTGTGGCCAGACCCCAAAGAAATATGATATTTTAGAGTATGTGGCCAATTTCTATCGGACTTTCAATAAAATGATGACTCTTAGAGAATTGAGACAACGATTTGACAAAAAAGGCCCTAATGTTGTTTGCTCTACATAATCAGGAGGGAAGGTTGGGTTGGGAAGTGATAGAGCTTTCGGAATGAAATTTCAGTTTTCAATATTGTTCTTCAATTCGCACAGATAGAATAGAATTTTTCTCTGATAAGGCACCTTTTTTTTATTAAGGTATCTAACCATTTTTCATTCATTATTTATGCATCAGCACTTTGAAGTGTCGTAGTCGATATTCGCCGCATTAAAAGTTGAATTCGCAAAACATTTGGTGGCTTGGCTGTCACATTCACAAAGAGCTCTCTTGCACGTGACATCCACTTCATCAGATGGATAACTAGATTCAGGGTCTGAAAAGAGATGGTGATAAAAAAAGAAATTTATAAAAGCTGCTAAAATGAAGGCAAGGGATACGTCGCTTTTGATTCTGCAAAACTCCTTTTCTCGTCATTTCTTTTGCATTTTTTTCTTCTACAATAATAGCTACTGTACTAAAGCACCTCTTTCCCTGGGCTTTCTTCATCTCGCGATCATAATGTGCAGTACTTTAGAGCAAATGAAAAATGTGTAAAATAAGAAACTAAATCTTCGTTAAAATCTGGCTTGATATCAATCCCATTTCATTGGGACCCTTAGCCTCTGTTAAAGTTAAGTAGTAGTAGAAGTAGTAGTAGTAGTGGTGGTAGTAGTAGTAGTAGTAGTAGTAGTAGTAGTAGTAGTAGTAGTAGTAGTAGTAGTAGTAGTAGTAGTAGTAGTAGTAGTAGTAGTAGTAGTAGTAGTAGTAGTAGTAGTAGTAGTAGTAGTAGTAGTAGTAGTAGTAGTAGTAGTAGTAGTAGTAGTAGTAGTAGTAGTAGTAGTAGTAGTAGTAGTAGTAGTAGTAGTAGTAGTAGTAGTAGTAGAGAAACGTCGTTCTTACAATGTGTCAAACTCTAGTAGTAGTAGTAGTAGTTGTAGTTGTAGTAGTAGTAGTAGTAGTAGTAGTAGTAGTAGTAGTAGTAGTAGTAGTAGTAGTAGTAGTAGTAGTAGTAGTAGTAGTAGTAGTAGTAGTAGTAGTAGTAGTAGTAGTAGTAGTAGTAGTAGTAGTAGTAGTAGTAGTAGTAGTAGTAGTAGTAGTAGTAGTAGTAGTAGTAGTAGTAGTAGTAGTAGTAGTAGTAGTAGTAGTAGTAGTAGTAGTAGTAGTAGTAGTAGTAGTAGTAGTAGTAGTAGAAGTAGT